CTGCACTCCAGCCTGAGTGACAGAGTGAGACGCTGTATTAAAAAAAAAAAAAAAAGTAGTAATTTGTCTCAGAGCATCTTTTCATCAATTTCAGAACTAGCAATAAGTTGAGAAAGTTTTTGCTAAGAGCCATTTAGAGGGAAAAATATTTAAAATGTGTCAATATAATGTTGTCAATGGTAGCTATATCTGTAATAGCAAGAGAACTGTTCTTGGTTTTGGTTTTTGTTTTTTTTTAAAAAAAGTTCTTAGCCTTATATAATTAATTTCAACATGAGGGAGCATGGGTGCTTTTTTTTTTTTTAACAAAAGTACTGGTTACCTTCCTGGGAGAGCACATGTATTTTCAAAGGCTCTCACTCCCTTCCTAGGAATGAGCAGCTGGAGCCAGGAAGTACATGAAATAAGAAAGTCAGTTTCAGGAGGCTTAGGTTAAAGCTTAAGGAAATTCCCAAGATGATGTTTTTAAAGGGCATTCAAAGGGCATAGTCCAGGTAGAAAACAAAATCTAGGATTATTTCAATGGAAACAATTCTTCATTTTATCTTTTTTCAATAGTCTTCCAGTTCAAAGAGAAATAAGATTATAGTTGTGGAAAACTGATAGATAAGCAATGATTTTTTTAAATCTGAAAACCCAGGCCCTACCTTCAGTGTGTATTTATTGTTTGATCTAAGTTTGGCACTTACATCTTTCATCTCACTTTCTCTTTGTATAAATGGGCACAACTATTCCTGTTCCCTCCCACACATTGATGCTATGAAGATAAATGAGATCATGTTTGTACTTCTATGGAGAAAAAACACTAGGTATACTAAAAATATCACTATTTTCAGAGTAGGTTTTTCCTTAGAAATGTATAGTAATGCCAGTTGTACATAGCATTGTTGAAGAGTCAAATTTTCTGTAAAATTGATCAATTTTTCAGAAAATAGGTAATTAGTTCATTGAGAACTAGAAGTTTCTTTTAAAATTTTTAACCATTTTTCAAATTTAGCAGTTTAAATTTGTTGATATATTCTTCAAATTCATGTTTATTGAATGCTTACTACATGCAATGTATTTTAATGGAAATCTTTCCCTCTGGTTAAACAAAATACATTTTACCTTTTATTGACGACTCTGTAAGATACCAATATATGAAAAAAGGATTTTAGTTGACTTCAAATATACCAGCCAACATAACATTAGGTTACTGAAGTATAAGCCATAGAGCTAAGTTAAGGAAACTGTTAGTTCTATTCTGTGTTAATCAGACAAATCTGGAGTTGAATTCTAGGTGCACAGTGTAAAACAAGCTGGAGTATATAGGAAAAGAGTTTTTTAAGATGGCGAAACGTGTGGGAATCCCATCATATGGATGTTTAAAAGGATAGTTAAATGCTAAAAATTATAGTTTTTAACTGTAGTTTATAGTTAGCATAGTTATATGTTAAAATTAAAACTTGACTTTAAATCATTGAATACCTACCAGAAGAGAGATTGGACTTATTCTGTGTGATTGCAGATGACTAAACTATAAACACAGATAGAATTTTAAGAAGAGAAACATCCTAGTTAAATAGAACAGTGCCAAAAATGAGCAGAATTGCCTTTGAGGCTTTTGTTTTTAGAATAGAAACTGAAGGACCTTTGGACGGATGCTTTGTGGAGAGGGGTTTGATGGAGTGAGAAGTTGGTCTTAAGGGTCCCTCCTGATTCTGAACGTCCTATCCACTAGGAACCTCACTTACTCTACTAAATTACAGTAGAGTGATGCCTTTAGAGCCTTTTGGTGCTTTGCCTCTGCCCTAGAAGGCCTCAGGCTGGTGTGGGTGTTTTGTTTTTGTTTTTGTACTTAGGGCTGCTTTTTAGTCTTCCCATCCTCCTCATTACCGGATTGCCTCAGCTTATCCTCTGTCTTTAGCAGCATCCTGCTCCATTCTAATTTGTTACCTGTAATATGCTGTGATCTACAAAAATACCATAACCAAAGATATTGAAAATGTATGAATAATTTAAGTGAGGTCCTGAAAAGCTCTCCTGTGAGTAAAGTGTTTGGTGCATAGAGTTTTTGCCATTTATTTTATTTTATTTTATTTATTTTGAAGCAGGGTCTCACTCTGTTGCCCAGGCTGGAATGCAGTGATGCCAACACAGCTCACTGTAGCCTCCACTTCCCAGGCTCAAGCGATCCTCCCACCTCAGCCTCCCAAGTAGCTGGGACCAGAGGCACATGCGACCACGCCTGACTATGCCATTAATCTTACTTTTTAAAGAGCCTTTTAACTTCCTTCCAAGTTCTGAAGAATATTCTAGATTTAACTTATCAATTTTGTGGTTTCTGGGAACTTATTATTGAAATTCTGTAAGTTTGCTAAACTTCCTACTAATCTGTAATATTGTAAAATATTCTGAATCCATTACTGATGTTTTCAAAAACAAAATCATTGGCAATAATATACTTATTCAAGATTTTTCTTATGTAGGTAACCTTTTCTTGGACAGCTTCTTCAAAATGAAAACATACTTTGTAACTAAACTGGATTATATAAGCAAATAAGGTTTATCAGAATGCTGATGACATTTCTCTCCTGAGCTTTTTCATATAGATAGTATTGGTGTCGAATGTGCAGAGTCCTTTTGAATATGGGAAATCATCTGATATCACTGGTTGTCTCCTTAGTCCCTTAGTATATAACAATAGTTTTAACATAACTCAGTCAAAAACATGTAATAAACACTTATTGTAGGTGTTCTTGGCTAAGAATGAGGAAGAGTATCAGAAAAACATAGTAATGTTTTGTATAAACTGAATGCCAAAGACCGTTCTACCATTAGAGAGCCTGCTGTCTTGTAAAGGAAATTAGACAGCAATCAAGGAAATATATTATCAATGCAGGATTCGTGCAGACAGTAAATGCCTTTGAAATTTGTAATGAGATATAGAGTAGTTCTGTGATTGCTTTGGCAGCACATATGCTAAAATTGGAACAATGCAGAGAAGATTAGTATGGCCTCTGCATGAGAATGGCATACAAATTTGTGAAATGTCCTATATATTTAGAAATATATTCTTGAAAAATGCTAAGACAGTGGGTGTAAAGTGTTCTTAAATGCATATGTTAATTGGTTAGATTTTGTCATTCCACACTGTATACCTATTCCAAAACTTCATGTTATACATGATAAATACATACAATTTTATTTGTTAATTAAAAAACAGAAAAGGATTAGTTCTGCCTAAATATGCTAGACTCAGAAGTTAATAATAAATGTGCATCCCTCCCCCTTTGTTTAATTTGCTTTGCCATTAAGTTAATATTTATGCTAAGAACTTTTGGCTGTTATAATTTCCTATCATTTATTTGGTAAAAAGATTAATTGAAGAGGTGTTTCAATGACCCCATTAGGAGATATGAAGAAAGCCTCAACATTGCCAGTATTTGAAAACTCAAAGGGTTTGTTTTCTTTCATTTTTATTTTTTTGAGACGGACTTTTGCTCTTGTTGCCCAGGCTGGAGTGCAATGGGCAACCTCTGCCTCCTGGGTTCAAGTGATTCTCCTGCCTCAACCTCCCGAGTAGCTGGGATTACAGGCATGCGCCACCACGCCCAGCTATTTTTTTGTATTTTTAGTAGAGACCAGGTTTCTCCATGTTGGCCAGGCTGGTCTCGAACCCCTGACCTCGTGATCTGCCCGCCTCAACCTCCCAAAGTGCTGGGATTACAGGCGTGAGCCACTGTGCCCAGCAAAGGGTTTGTTTTCTAAAGCAGGTGATGCTGCATGACACCTTCTGCCACTTTCCTGTGTTGGCCAGAAGAAGGATTTTAATGTCTCCCAAATGGATTATGCTGACCTCAATCTAGATCCCCCTGGGAAATAGAAATTTCTTATATGTTCCTGGCTGGGTCATTGTGAATAATATCTCCATGTATCCCAAAGCTCTGAATTATCCTCATCTGTAACAGACACTACAACTGAATGGTATCTGGAACATAGTTAATTTTATGGAAAATATTCAAAGGAACAAAATGAACACTGCAATACAAAGTGCTGTCGACTTAGATTTTGCCAATTTCCCTGGATGTGTAAGTAGAATTATATCTTCACAGAACTTGCCAAAATCCCAGACTCGACTATTTAATCTCTTTCCAGAAGCACCAGCCCTGAGCAATCCTATCTACAATTTGCTGCGTGTGGTTGTTACTAAATTGTTCCCGGTAAGTTAGTTCCTAACTCGCTGTTTCACAGCACAGAATACTCTATAAAGGGAGAGCGCTTGAAAGGACCAGAGTTCTCTTTGTCATGCCCCTGCCTCTGGACAAGGGTGTTCTTAAACTGCCCACTGGCTTACCCCGTGACCCTCTTCTTTAGCACTTCAAGTTAGAGAACACCTCTCACACCAAAGTGGGCACACCCTCGGATCGTGTAGGCAGCGATTGTTTAGCCGAGACATCCCCCACCCCTCAAAAGGCCGCAGAGAAGCAGCGAACGCCGCTTAGCAGTTGTCGCGCTCTCAGTGCGGGTGACCCCGGGCTGGGTTGGGGTGTCCCTTCCCGGGGTAGTGGGACTCCCTGAAAGGGGGTGGCGGGAAGAAGAGGGAGGGCTTGTTTCTCTGGGGGATGTGGGAAGTAGGCGCTAGCTAGCCTGTTTCGCGGTTTTTTAAGCCCCTTGGCATGCCCTGACCTGATCAAGAGGGAGTCAACTGCTCTTAGGAATGTTCCGGGAGAAGGTGGGAGATTGCTTTCCAGGGGAGGCCTGTGGGTGCTGGAGGGCACCAAGGGGGTCGCCGGGGGTATGCAGGGCACGCGCCGAGAGGGGTGCCAAGGCAGCCGGGGGCCGGGCTAAGGAGGACTGGACCAGCGGGCGGCGGGGGCGCGGGTCAGGGCGCGGGGGACCCCTCCCTGGGAGGCCGCGGCGATCCGGCCGCGCTGGCTGCACCGCCCGGGCTGTCAAGCGCGGGGGGCGGGCGGGAGGAAGGGGTGGAGGTGCGAGGGGAGGAGGGCTGGCACCGGAGCGCCGCGGCGTCGGTGCAATAAAAATGCATCGCATGGAACTGCCCGTGGAGAAGGACGGGACGGAGCCGGGGCGGCCAGAGGAGGTGGGAAAAACGGAGGAGGACGCCCAGGAGGCGGCGGCGGCGGCGGCGGCCGGGAAGTGAAAGGTCTCGCAAAGTTCAGCGGCAGCTGTGGTCGCCGAGCCCCGAGCTAGCGGCGGACCAGCCCGCAGGGCCGCTCCGAGGGGCAGCTCGGCCAGGCCGGCTATGGTCCTGGGTCTCCTGCCGTCCCCCAGGTGCCCGGGCCCCGCCAGGCCGGTGCGCGAGGGTCACCCCACCGCCCCGCGCGGCCCCGGCCCCCGGCTCCCTGCTGCCGGCGCCCGCTGACCGAGCCCGGCGCCCTGGGAGGAGGAAGAAACCAGAGCCCGGGTCCCTCCCGAGGACGGCGGCGCTTCATCCCGCAGCCCAGAGGTCTCGGCTCCCTCCCGCACCCGCCGGCTCGGCTGCTCCCGGCTCCTCCCGGCCATGGGGACCTGCGCGCGGCTGCTGCTGCTCTGGGGCTGCACGGTGGTGGCCGCAGGTGGGTGGTGACGCGGCCGGGCCCCCACCCCTTCCCTCGCTGCTTCTCTAACCCATTTCGGGACTCGGGGATGCAGGGGAACCGGGGCTGCGAGCGCAGAGCGCGGCTCCCGAGGGTGAAATGAGTGGCCATGTTCCGCCTCCTTTCCTGGGGGCTCCGCAGCTTCAAATACTATTGATTTATTTTTGCAACTGGGATACACATGCGCTTAGATAACCAGATATCCTGGGTGCGCCCTGCCGGGGATATCGCGACGGGGGTTTCTTTCTCGGTTTGGCTTGTTAAAAAACTGCCTTTCCACTTGGTGAGGGAACAAAGGACCCAGCTCGCCATCCCCGGCACTTCATGGCCTGAGGAATGATGAGGAGGGGTGGCCCAGCGACCCTGGGCGCGCGTGGGCCTGGGTCGGTCTCTGGTGGAGGGCAATCGCTGGCGTCCCGGACCTCGTGCTGGGTACTAGGGAAGCAGGTAAGGACACCTGGGGCAGGGCTGAGCACCCTCTCCCCGGAGCCGAGGCTGGAACGCAGTGGGGCTCCCGGCTTGGACGGTAGGTGGTGATCACCCTGGGCTTGCACGGAGCTGGCTGGCCGCCCCTGGGGAATTGGTACCCTGGCCGAGGCTCTGCGGGAGGTCGGAGGCGGGTCTGCTCCCTGGCTCGGTAACTGGACAACCGGCGGAGGCGTCGGCAGATGCCTTTTCCCTCTCACTCGCATCCTGGCTTTCTTGGGTTGCCCTAGGCCACTGGCTCCTGGCTTGCAGTTTCCGCATTCGGGATCCCCTTCTGCTCCTCTCCTTCCCTCTTTCAGGTCACCTGGTTTCCAGTTAGGCATAAGTGCAGCCCTGTAGGTGAGGGGGAGAGCTGTGAGGGACTCTGCAGACTCCCAGTCAGTCGTGCGGATCTTGTCTGCTTCAGAAAGGGGAGCTGGGCTAGAGGGACGCGTTGGTGGCTACAAAACCTTGTCGCACGCATCTCCTGCCTTCGGCTTCCATTCTCCCCTGAGAGTCGCTGGCACCCAGCAAAATCCAGCCTGCATCCCAAACCAGTCCGAGTCACAGGAGCACCGTTGGTATCATTGAACAGTCAGTTGAGGGACTCCAAGTATTTTGCCCCACGGATTGTTTATCTGGCTCAAATCTTTTCTGCACTTGTGAGTTTAGCGGCATTTAAAATTATTGGGTATTTTTCCCAGGGACCTATTAAAGGCCTAGGATTTTACTCCAATTCCTGCACTCTTAAAAGATGAACTTTAAAAAATTTTTCCTTCTCAAACCATATTATGGCAAAAACATGCAAGCAATTGAAAGGTTGTAAATAAACATCCCAAGGCAAGTGTTTCAAGTCAAAAATACTTGTACAGGCAGTATGTAATTTTCCCTGAAATGTTTTACAGGTGAGTCATAGCACACTGTGTGTTTGTGTGATTCTGGCCACAAGCAACTGTTGCCAGCTAATCAGAAAAGTGGTAAACCGAACCCAGGCATAATGCACCCTTTGACATTTAAAAAATAATGCCTAAGGGAGCCCTTTATTTTTGATTGCAAGGCTACAGTGGTGTTGGCCATTGTCAGTGTGTGAAATGTCTGTTTCAGCCTAAGCTGTCATTTGGCCCCCTCCAATCCTTGCTGTGATAACAGTTCAGAGGCACTGCTTCTTAAGAAGCAGAAACATTCAATTAGCCAGAATTTGGGGGTTGATTTCCTTTTCCCTCTTTTCCCCTCTGTTTTAACCTTTAAAACAGATGATTTTTGCTTAAGGTATTCATAATTAAAATGACAAACTCAAATCAAAGGATTATAGTATGCAGTCAAAATGTTAATAAGTGGATAATGTTTATCATTTTAACTAATTTTAAAACATTAAAGTCTGTCAGGTCTTTGTTTGGGAGGAAGAGTGTGTTTCTTAAAGAAGGTGTTTCAGTTCGCAGATAATATTTAAAGGTGCTGTTAGTGGCTGCCATACACTATCCTGTTAAGCAAACAGGTAGCTACTGTATAACCTGTCACAGGTAGAAACCCTCAAGAGACAGAGTGTAAAATGAGCTTTTCTGCCATTTGGCAGTTCAGAGGGCTTTTTTCTTAGTTATGTTTATGTCATGTTAGAAATTGATAGTGCACATCTGAGCTCCAGTGATCTCCAGCTTTGCCTCCCCCTAAATGAGGACCCATTGTATATTTATGAAATATCTCATATTGCTTTTCCTAGGGAGTTTATCCCTTCACTGGCTTAAAATTATAAAGAAAATTGAATTCTACATTTTCTTCTAAATGCATTCTCATAATAAACATGTTAAATCAGTGAAGGACTCACATTGAATTTGAAAGACTAACTTAGATGGCCTTAAAAACATTATGGTTTTTCGACAGTCTTGACTTCCAAAACCAATCAATGTATTTGAAATATAGAAGACATTGACAAGGCAAAGTATTTGAAAAATTTTAGACCAATAATCTTCACCCTGCTCATTCTACTTTCCCTCCTCCTGCCCTCTGCCTAAAGTAATTGTTTCTCTGATGTGAATTTTACATCTGAACATAAAAGCCATACACACACACACACACACACATGAATGCATTGTGAATGCAGAATAGTGTTCATGCTCAAACATGAACATGGTGGAGCATAGTAGAATTTTCCATTTACTGAAGGTATCAAGCGCTTTTGGAGAAATCCTTGATGGTTGTTGATGGACTAGGTGGCCAAAAGAGCTTTTCAGATGGGTTTGTCTTGCATCATGCATGCTTTCCCTTTCATAGGACGGAGTGGAGTCGCTGGACGCTGTGAAAAAGCCTGCAACCCTCGGATGGGAAATTTAGCTTTGGGGAGAAAACTCTGGGCAGACACCACCTGCGGTCAGAACGCTACCGAACTGTACTGCTTCTACAGTGAGAACACGGATCTGACTTGTCGGCAGCCCAAATGTGACAAGTGCAATGCTGCCCATCCTCACCTGGCCCACCTGCCATCTGCCATGGCAGACTCGTCCTTCAGGTTTCCTCGCACATGGTGGCAGTCTGCAGAGGATGTGCACAGAGAAAAGATCCAGTTAGACCTGGAAGCCAAATTCTACTTCACTCACCTAATTATGGTGTTCAAGTCCCCCAGGCCGGCTGCCATGGTGCTGGACCGCTCTCAGGACTTTGGGAAAACATGGAAGCCTTATAAGTACTTTGCAACTAACTGCTCTGCTACATTTGGCCTGGAAGATGATGTTGTCAAGAAGGGAGCTATTTGTACTTCTAAATACTCCAGTCCTTTTCCATGCACTGGAGGAGAGGTAAGAGCACCTGTTTAACACTGTAACTAAGATAGAAAAATGTTACCAGCCCACATTTTTTTTTTAAGCATGAAGCTATACTTGTAGCAACATGAATGAAATTAGAATTTTTCATGAGCTTTATTTGTCATAAATTATTTCTCACCCTTACGTATGAATGTGTAGCTTCAAGCAGATCGTCCACTGGCTGGGTTTAAATCAGTATTCTAAGATTCAGATTTTTCACATTATAAAAAAGAGCAGACACACATCATTACTCTAGAGGCTTCTCATTGCGTCAGTTCTCGGGACTACCTATGTGCTTCTGAAGGGGGAAAAGTTACTGAGACATTCTGTTCCTGGAGCCTGCACGGGTATCTTCCTGGTACTGTTAATATAAATAGGAAGTAAATAAAAACAAAGCCAAGAAAGAAAAAAAAATCTATTTGTCAGAAGGATACTTTTGTATAAGAGTAGCAAACAAATGAAAGTAGTTACTTTTAACATACAAAGGTTCTTCTGGGCTCACAGACACATGAATTTCAGCTTAAGGACCCAGGACCATCTTAAACTCATTCTGTAAAACAGCCTCCTTAGCTACTGATCCAATTTCTATGTGGAGTGTTTTCCCTTTAATGGTCCCTTCCTCTAAGGGAGAAACAGGTCTTTTTTAGCTTTTCCTTAAGTTCTGGGGTACATTTACAGATCGTGCAGGATTGTTATGTAGGTAAACATGTGCCAAGGTGGTTTGCTGCATCCATTCCCTCATCATCTACATTAGGTATTTCTCCTAATGTTATCCCTCCCCAATACCCTGACTCCCTGCTATCCCTCCCCTAGGTCCCCCACCCCCCGACAGGCCCCAGTGTGTGATGTTCCCCTCCTTGTGTCCTTGTGTTCTCATTGCACAACACCCACTTGTGAGTGAGAATATGTGAGTTTGGTTTTCTGTTCTTGTGTCAGTTTGCTGAGAATGATGGTTTCCAGCTTCATCCATGTCCCTGCAAAGGACATGAACTCATCCTTTTTTATGGCTGCATAGTATTCTGTGGTGTATATGTGCCACATTTTCTTTATCCAGCCTATCACTGATGGACATTTGGGTTGGTTCCAAGTCTTTGCTATTGTAAACAGTGCCTTGAAAGGTTACTCCCAACCCCCAGGTGTATGAGAACATTCAGAGAAAACTGAATAAAAGCAGGTTAAGAGAATATAATACCTTCAATAAGTAGATGAAGAAATATTGATTCAGGAAAAAGAAAAGAGTATAATCAACCTAATTCTGGTGCATGTCATGAATACACAGACTAGATAAGTGGCTTTCAACTAGGGGTGACTTTTGGCCCCTCTTCCCTGGGGACATTGGGACATTTGGCAATATCTAGAGACATTTTTGCTAGGGAGAGGGACACCACTAGCATCTAGTGGGTGGAGGCCAGCGATGATGTTCACTCTCAGACAATGCTCAAAATAGCATTCCCCACTCCACCCCCTACCAAAAATTATCTAGCCCCAAATGTTAATGTACCGAGGTTGAAATAGCCCGCACTATTAGGCATACATCCAAAACATGGATCACAATGGCCGCACAAACTAGAATAAGCACTCCTCTAGCATCATTTATACAACTATTCTCAGACTTCACAGATATATAATCAGCATTGTTGACCCCCTCAGGCACTGTAGTCATTGCTACTAATTCTGCTTTTGGTGTAGTATGGGGAGGTGCTTGCCAGGGGCCTGGTGGAAAGGTCGGTTTGGGACCTCCTTTCCCTACTACCATAGATACGTGGAGACTTTTGCCATATTATCCAGCTGCTTCTTCTGTTTGCACCTTGAATAGTGCAAGAATAGTGCCGCTGGCACCAGAACCAAGTAGGACATGGTGCAAGCAGCATAGCGATTGTTTCCCATTCTTCTTCATGGTCCACAAAGTTGGCTGAATATTGTAAGCTCATTTGCAGCCTGTCGTGATGGACATTTTTAAAGATACGAGGACAGGAAAGACACAGATAAGTTAGACTCGTTGTTTTGTTATGTGAACACTTTGTGTTGAAAACAGATGAATGTCTTGAACTCTCAAATTGCTTTGGAATTGATCCACAGGCTCATAATCAGCTCCCTACATCTCAGTGCTACTGGGCGTTGTGTATCTATGAGGTTGCAAAAATACAGTTTTAGTAACCAGATGGCAGGCATACTCATTTAGCAGATATCACACTGAGTTTATTGCAAATCTGTTACAACAGTACAACAATTATTTAGAGATGACTGTAGTAACATTGAACTAAACTATATGGAGGTACGATCTTGTCTTTTTTTAAAACCAAACTGTTTACTGTCATCAATGCTTACATCAAATTCCAAGCAGAGAGAGACTAACATTTATGTAGGTCATTTCAATGTACAGATACCTTCTATACCTAGTTTGTAAGTGTTCTTAATTGTAGTTTTTTTTTTCCAGCAGACATATTTTAATGATAAGAAAAGCATCAAGTGTGACTTAGTTCCCTCTAGAGCATTATTTGCAAGTATAAAGTGTAAATAAGTCATTATAGAATTTCTTCTTTTAAGAGGACAGGTTTGGGAACTAATCTTTCTCTCCTGAGTTAAAGAATAGAAAGTCTATCTCTAACTCAAAGACCACAGGAAGCCTTTCCAGAAATGATTATTACCTTCCTCTTCTCTGTCACGTTAGAATATAAATCAGTGCAGACCTACAGATTTATTTTGCAGTTTCAACTCCATGTCATCAGTTTCCATCTTTGAAAATTGTGTGCTCAGAAAAAGAAGCGAGTCAATCTACTTTAAAAATAAGAAGTCTCAAATTTCATTTATGGATTATTTGTAACTTTATAGACCTATATTTTCCTCCATTCTATAGAAGACTTAAGACTTCTCTAGGTAACATCCTATCAATTAGGCTAACATAAATAAATGCCAGACTTAATTCGTTTCCAGCATTCATTCAGAAATACTGCTTTGGGTTTTGAGAGCTTGTAGCTTCATGTCTAAAGAACCAGATACCTCCATCAAGAGAGTAGAAGGCACTAGTCATCTAAAAAAGGACTTTTTTTTCTGAGATGGAATTTCGCTCTTGTCGCCCAGGCTGGAGTGCAGTGGTGCGATCTCCACTTCCCAGTTCAAGCGATTCTCCTGCCTCAACTCACTGCAACCTCCACGTCCCAGTTCAAGCAATTCTCCTGCCTCAGCCTCCCAAGTAGCTGGGATTACAGGTGCCTGCCACCAGGCCCAGCTAATTTTTTGTATTTTTAGAAGAGATGGGGTTTTGCCATGTTGGGCAGGCTGGTCTCAAACTCCTGACCTCAGGTGATCTGCTGGCCTTGGCCTCCCAGAGTGCTGGGATTACAGGTGTGAGCCACTGCGCCCAGCCCGAAAAAAGGACTTTAAAAACATGGTCCCAAAAATTCAACCAGAAAGAACACCTTTTAAATAGATATTGAGCCTGCTCTATAGAAACCTCCTAAACTGCCCAGCTCTTTCAAAGAATGGGGTATGGCTATACTAAAATGTGTCTCCTTCCCAGGAGATGAGACTGAGGCTGGAAGTAAAGTGATTTGCCCAACAACATACTCTTAGTTATGTGACAGAGCTAGGACTAAGTCACAAGTCTTTTGACCTTCAGTCTAGCATTTGTTCCATAAAATCAAGCTCTCTCCCTCTATTAGTGACCCCCAAGAACTGCTGGCAAAGAAGATCTTATATCTCCCTCCTCCCTCAATCTCTTAAAGCCATTTGCTGCTATTCATTTGGATATGACATGAACGTAAAATGGAATCTGCCAAACAGTTTTCTCCTGAGCAGCAATGTCCTCTGAGATGTGGTATACTGAGGATAAAAGATCCCATTGTCAGCTTACGCTGGGAAACACTGACTGTGTTTAACAAATTGAAACATTTATAAATACACTAATATTCTCATTATGTACCCTGTGCCCCCAAATGGGAGATCTAGGATGTGACACTCCTGGACTTACTTGGCTATGAAACTCTCTTTTTGCAGAACTCGTCGCTCTCTTTCAGGACCCTGATGATCCACAGAGCACAGCGTGGGAAATGTTGAGGTGGAGGTTTAAGTGCTCTCAAAGCCCTGGTGAAAGGCACAGACAGGCCTGGGGCTAGGCATCCTTGGATATCAAGACCGTCCATTAGGATCTCAGTCTACTATGTAGTTGGAGCAGGCAATAAAATAATAACCTTGAGGCTAAAGATGATGGGTTAATTAGGCTTTCTTGGGATGTAAAAGAACCACTCTCAGATTACCTCTGGGTACAGAAAACACAAGGAAGTAGGAAGATATAGCAAACCGTCTCGGGTCCCAAACCGTCAGGACTCATGAAACTAGAATTTCAATGATCACTGTTAGGAAACAGCGTCTGTTCCAGTGACCTAAAAGCAACTCTAAAGGGATGTAGTTATTGTCTCCTTAGAAGTGAGCATGACTCGCTCCCTGCTCTATTAACTCTCTGTTAAAAGAACTCTGTTCAAAATTGGATAGCCACCAACCAAAGCACACAGATATATTTTTAAATTTTTCTCTAGGGCATTACAAAAATGTGCCATTCAAAGGCAGGACTGTAAAGTCAGAGACAGCCAAGAACATAGGGAGTAGCTGGGTCTCAAAGCAATCTTTGAATAGAAAAGGATTCCTAGGCTGGGCACAGTGGCTCACGCCTAGTCCCAGCACTTTGGGAGGCTGAGGCAGGCAGATCACCTGAGGTCAGGAGTTCAAGACCAGCCTGGCTAACATGGAGAAACCCCCATCTCTACTAAAAATACAAAAAAAGAGCCAGGTGTGGTGGCACACACCTGTAATCCTAGCTTCTCGGGAAGTTGAGGCACAAGAATTGCTTGAACGTGAGAGGCAGAGGCTGCAGTGAGCCGAGATCACTCCACTGCACTCCAGCTTGGGCAACAGAGTGAGACTCTGTCTCAAAAAAAAGAAAACAAGAGAAGAAAAGGATTATTAAAGAGGGGAAGGCTTATGTCAGTTCTATTTAC